TTTATTTGATTCCTCAGTGTTTGCTAAACGTTCTGTAATTTATTAGTCGGTATATAATACAGCATGTGGTGTGTGCCATGCCTCATCTTATTCGTTTTTGTTAATAAACGTTTTGTAAGCTAATTTGTCATTGTATCTTACTGATTTATTGTTGTGCTTTTTGATTAAGAATAACAATGAATCCATCTTTTGTTTTAGTCTTAAAAAATAAAAGGTGTGTAGATGTATGTGAATGTGGCGGGCGGTGCAATTTTGAGACACCAGCCCGAGTTTTTACTGGTAAGAAAATCCGACTACGCCACCCTAGGAATTAAACCCAGGGAAAAATACTCAAACCACTCAAATTGAGTAATGAAGCACACAGGTTCGGTTCCCTCATAGAATTAGGCAAGAGACATGAGTAAAGTATCAAAAAATACAAATGTTTATTAATACAGAAATAGGTTAGAATACTGGACACTAAAAACAACAAAGAACACTAGAAACCCCACTTCAAACAAGAAAAAAAAAACTAATTACAAACAGAAAAGTAATACAAACCAACTTTATATACACAACAATTCGGTGTATCTGTAAAACAAAACAAACAAAAACAATACCAGCAGGGCTGAGGTTCCCAGCGGCAGGGATCAAGGTAGAGTTTGGTTTTACAAGGGCACTTCCACACACACACACCCACACCTGTGCACTCAGATCACACCATCAAACACTCGAAGTGTAGCACCGCACATGATAAAGGAGAACCACCACCACAAGGAAGAAGATCAATCCACCAATGGGACCCCAGCTCCTGCAATAAATTAAAAAGAAATAAACTATAAAAAATACTCAAACCACTCAAAAGTAATGAAGCACACAGGTTCGGTTCCCTCATAGAATTAGGCAATATGGACATCACTTAATGAAGCAACTCCTCACAACAGGGCATCCATACCAGACAGAAGTAAAGAAAGAAACTGTGAAACCTTAGAAGGATCGAATAGTTAGTCACCTGAGATTATTACAGAACACTCAAACTCAGTAAATGGTCACATACAAGTACAGTTGCACTAATCGATGGTTGATTATGTGCAACAAAAACTACAACTTTCATACATTTTACAGTAATAAAGAAAAGAAATCAAATCAACCAAACAAATTTTACTTCCACAAAAGAAAAGAAAACAAAAAATGGTTTAAATCAAAGAAAAACAAAAAGACAGGGGCCAGTTTTTATCTCGTATATAAACGAAAAGAGATGGTCAAGCCTCCCATAAACCAAAAAATGTGAAGCAGGGCACTAAAATGACTGCAGTCAAGCCAGCCGCACTTCAGAAAAACACGGTCAAGCCAGCCGCG